TATTTAGTATAATATAATTTAATTAATTTTTTGTGCAGGTTATTTAACTTAAAATTTGTCTTTTTTTTGTCATAAGACATGGATCTCATACGATGATTATCGTGATCTAGAAGAGGAAACTGAAGAGGACAAAGATTATGGGCTTATTGTCCGCCAGACTGATTTGTGTCGCACATACCGCATATGTGGACACATTTTGTGAGGGGTACATGCTAGATCATGTGCTTCGACAATTTGGACTTCACCAAGGGATGCCGGTTGATCCCTTGTAGTAGGAGATGAGAGATAGAAGGCTGAAAAAGGCTGATAACTGGGCATATGAGCTTCGAGTTGAAATTGATATGTGGACGAATATATTATATTATATTTGTCAGGCAGATGAAGCTATGTTCAATGGGAATCTAACACAATAATACATCGAGTGGTACAGGTTAAGGACTAGGCCCTTAATCCATAATCCATTTAAAAAACGTCCTTCCAAATACGCACCTCGAGGTTAAAATGATGAAGATAGAATGGTAATAATCTATTTTCATATTTCATAGATTATTTACGACATTTTTTATTCACGACATTTTAAATTTAGAAGTCTCAATAATTTCATATTACTTAACACAACATAGGGACATCAGCTATGCAGCTGAACTTGTACATGAAAGTTACAATTCAAGAAATTGGGACCTAGTTGGGGAAGCATTAGAATTGCTGAAATTTTATTACCTAGAAGTTGCAGGGGAAGATGATGCATCTGAGGAATTGGAGTTGGATGATGAGATGGATGACAACGTACCACCAGTATGGCTTCCTTCTCAACCAGATGAGGGGCCAAGTAATACATAATCCATCTCCACATCGGTTCAACCAGAGGAGCCTAGATGGCAGTTACGTCATCGTGTTGTAAGATGGGAGGAGAGCAGCTCATAACAGGAGCGTAGCTCAAATACCGAATTGCAGTTGTCACAGTGGGGAGAGAAGTTGCCAATACGACGAAAACGTTCACGATAATATGTTTCTTTGTTTTAAAGAGGTCAGTAGTATCTAACTGTTGTAAAGAGGCCAGTAGTGCCTAAACTGTGATGTGTGATATTTTAAAAAATTGATATATCAATATTTTTTGTACATGGCCTTTTTTTCCACAAGGGATTGTGATGTATTTCTATGGTTTCGCAGGTTTGTTCATTAGCTCCTATTTCTGGTACACAATTATGTGGAATATAGATAGTGGTTATGATAGATTTGATAGAAAAGAAGGAATAGTGTGAATAAAATCCAAATTGTTCGACAAGAAGGAATAGTGTGAACTAACCAACTCATTCACCATATGTATGGTCCAAGCATCAATACCGATTGGTCGATAAAATATTAAAAATTTAAATAAATTGTTTTTAGATTAAACTGAAGCATCATAGTCTTTTGTTTATGGTAATGAGAAAAGACATGTTTAAGGTAGAAAACCCCTTTAGGATTAACCGTTACGAAATTGTACTTTAACAAGATCAGCATTTTGATGATGTACATGCATGCCGTAATCACCTTATTGATTATATCATATCACAAAATTTCAATATGAAGTTTATAAAAAGCGAGGAGAGACGTGTATGGGCGAGGTATGCTGTAGATAAGTGTTTATGGCAAGTGCGTTGTTTGAGGGTTAATACAACAAACTTCTTTAGGGTGAAGAAATTTGTAAACATGCATTCATGTGCCGACGGAATAGGTATATTTCATCAGCCGCTTGTCGAAAGCCATTAGGTCGCAAGCAAGATCAAAGAACGTTTGAATAATATGCCCAATCCGACATCTGGAGATATGGTTAATGATATACAACGTGATCAAGGTGTCATACTATCTTACCAACAAGCATGGCGATGCAAAGAGTTTGCACGAGAGGTAAATGAGAGTTCCCACGTGAAGGAATACGAAGACCTTTCCAAGTACCTTCATAAGATCCAAATCACTAACCTGGAACTGTAACGATTATTCAAACAGATAATCGTGATAGGTTTGAGTGTGTGTTTATAGGCAATCATCCATGTTTGTATGGTTTTATGTTTGGTTGTAGGATACTTATGAGACTAGATGAGACATTTTTAAAGGGAAGGTACAAAGGGATACTATTGGCTGCAGTTGGGGTAGATGGAAATAAAAATATATTTCCAATAGCATATGCAGTGGTTGAGAGTGAAAACACATTAAGTTGGACTTGGTTTCTAGAGCTTATCAATGAACCGTTGACGAGAGGCCTGATCTGCCAGCATTGGCTATTATCTCATATCGTCAGAAAGGGTTTCAAGACGCAATTGATAAAGTATTCCCAACTTGTGAACAAAAATATTGTATGAATCACCTTTGCCGATAATTTCAAAAAGACCTATAGAAATTCGGCGCTCACAAAACTTTATTGGGAAACTGCACGTGCATTATCTATAACAGATTTCGATGAGTACATGGCAAAGATTAAGGATGCAAATGCAAAGGCCTATGACTGGATAATGTTATAACATCTGAAATATTGGATAAACACATATTTTCAGGGGTGTAGATACAATCATCTTACATCAAACATCTCTGAATCATATAACTAGTAGTTATTAAAGGCTCGGGATAAACCCCGTATTAAACTCCTTGAATGCTTAAGGGTTAAGCTCATGAGAGAATTTTCAAAGAAGATGACCATGTTCCTAGAATGGAGGGATGTGCTTATACCGAAGACCCAAAAAGTAATAGACATGAGGAGGTATCAGTCTAGATTCCTTGATACAGTCACATAAGCACATGATGATATATATGAGATTAATGAGGATAAGAAATATATTGTTAATCTGGCTACTCATACACGCAGTTATCAAGTGTGGCAGGTTAGTGGGTTGTCGTGCAGTCATGCAATCGCCACTATAGATCATAGGCATGAACATGTTACAAACTTTGCAACGTTTATTTCACAATTCAAATGTATCGTAGAGTTGCCAGATTCAACCTAATTCCTAATGCACTGCAGTTATCAGAGGTTGTCTATACAACAGTATTGTCGCCAGCTGTAAGACGAACCGCAAGTCGGCCAAAGAAACGACGAAAACCAACAGAATACAAAAGAGATTAGGCCTCTTAAGTGTAGCCGATACGGGGTCGTAGGCCATAACCGGAAGACATATATATCAAATATATGAAATAATGTAAAGAGACCATTAGTGTCAATTCATCTTTTTTTGATATGCCATTTTGTGTCTGCTGATATGATATGTAAATCAAGTATATGAATTTGTAAAGTGGTCAATGCCTGCTGATATGAATTTTAGAAAGTACGTGATCAAGCTAGTTCAATCTTATGTAATGTGGTATGTGTAAAGTTTGTAGATCACTTAAGTTCATTTTAGATCAATTAAGTTTAAGCTTTTTGATGAGTACCTTGTTCAATTTTTATGGTATTATTTTATGACGGTAATATTATAGCTTACTGTAATATGTATTATTTTATTAGCACTATGGTCTTTTGAGGGAGGAGGCTAAGAAAAAAAAAAATGCTAAAGAAATCGTGAAAATAGGGTGTTATGCAAAAAATCGATAAAAACAGGCAGGAGAACATTACAGTTATTTTAATACCGTATAATATATGTAAAGTATTACAGCAGATCGAGTACCGTAATTGAATGTTATTACGTTACGCTAATTAAAGTACCGTATAAAATGTTTTAAGAATTACGGTAAATAAATTACCATATAAAATTTGCTAGGCATTACGGCAAATTACCATGATGTTCTTTACGGTAAAAAGACTACCGTGAAGGTCATTTTCGTCCAAAAATAATGTGAAAGGGTATAGATGAGGTTTTTGAAAGTTTGGGTTTTTTTTTTTTTCCAATTGTACGAAAATATAGGTTTATTTATAATAATTTATCTATATTTTATTCCTTTTATTATTATTATTTTAAAGAAAATTTTTTATATAAAGTTGCAACCTTAAAATGTAGAATTACAGATGCACGTAAAAAATCCATCGGAAAATGCTGTTTTAATGTTGAAAAATCTTCAATTTGGTCATCTCAACATCAATATGTATGAATATTCAAAAAAAAGATTTTGAGCCCTAAAATAATGCATCTTACAACACAATATCTAGACCATCCATTTTCAAGATTTTTATATGTTTATAGATCTACTTGATTTTAATTATTTTTGGAATCTAATATTTTATAATTATATACGATAATAGATTTTGAGATAATCTTAATACTTTTTTACACCAGCATTATATATTATGATAAAATTTAGAGGTGCTCCTTATTTAGATTGTTTAAAGTTACACCTTCATGAAAACCACACCCTTATTTTAATTAGTTTTATCTATCTTCTCTCATTTTTATTATTATTTATATTTTAATTATTTTTTCTCTCCAATCCCCTCTAACAACCTTCATTTTTATTATTATTTATATTTTAATTATTTTTTCTCTCCAATCCCCTCTAACAACCTTCATTTTTATTATTATTTATATTTTAATTATTTTTTCTCTCCAATCCCCTCTAACAACCTTCATTTTTATTATTATTTATATTTTAATTATTTTTTTCTCTCCAATCCCCTCTAACAACCTTACTAGATCATATAATCAATCAAGCAGCGAGCGGCACAACATATATTTCCCACAAAAAAATAAAATAAAGAGATCATTTATTTTTGGGGTGTTCATCTGATTTTAAATTGGGTTGTTGTGCATTTGTCATTAACGAGACTCAAAATTCAAAATAAATTTTTTTGAACTTTGTCATACATCTCAAGCCATAAAAGGAAGATGAGCGGAGGGAGCTGTTCCCACCAACCGTCCGATGTCTACAACAGGCCGCTAAGATATTGCTAGTTACTGTTTTCAAACTACTACGTATCGAGAACCGTAGATCACGCTCTGTATTTCTGCTCCAAATATTTTTCAGGCGGTATCTCTCTCTCTCTCTCTATATATATATATGCTTTGACTCCAAATTTCATCTGCTTTACAATTTAGACTGGTAGCTGGCGTTTATCTCTTTAGTTTTCTCGTCCAAGTAATACCTAGGATTTTCTCTCTCTACAGTCATGAAACCGGAAGGGCCTTTTCTTCACTCTCCATTAAATGGATCACCACCATGGCAGATGACTCCTCAGGAACCCCGGAACATTACACCCTGGAACCCAAAACCCAAAACCAGAGAACGCCAAATCCGAAGATACACCATTTCGAAACCCTAACCCTAGGCCATGAAGCTGACTTCAGCAGTGTCCATTTTCACAGGCTCGGCGTCCAGGCCAAAGCCATGACCATGGAGGATAACCAGAAAACGCTGGAAGAAAGAACCAAATGGAGGCGATTTATTTCGAACCAGTCCGAGGTTATGACCGATATTCATGCTCGACTTTGTCGAGTTCTTGAGAAGATTGGTGCTTCGAAGCTAGAGACTAATGAAGAGAGACATGCTAAAGAGTTGGGTTTTGATGAGGAATTGGATGATTATGTGATTAGTGTTAGGAGTATTTGGAGAACTGTGACTGCGGTTGAAGATGGGTTGAAGGGGTATGAAGAAATCAGGGTCAGAGAGAGGAAGGAGTTGGAGAACAGTGTGGTGAGCTTGACTGAGGAGAATAGGGATATAAACCGTCTGCTAAGGGTTGCTCTAATGGAAAAGGAGGCAGTTGAAAGGGATTATAACAGGTTCCTTTTTGTAATTGTTGATGCTTCAATTATCTGTCTCTCTCTCTAGAATTTGTGTTGTAACTATTCATATTCAAGCTACTGCTCTCTTTCTCTCTCTACGATTTATGTTATTGTCATTCCTGTTCTAGCAGCTCCATCTCTCTGGTAACTATTACTCTTGTACTTATCACACACACACTCTCTCTCCTCTCAACAGTTTCTTATGTGCTTATTGGTTTGCAAGTAGCTTCTCTCTCTCTCTCGTTCTCCAAAGTAACTCTTTTGATGTTTATTACATTCAAACGGAGACATATGTAATTTTTGCGTGGTGGACGAAGGGATGTGATTCAGCAAATGCTGGGCATGACATGCCATGTGAGAGAGAGAGAGAGAAAAAAAAAAAGAACTCAAACAATCATCTTTGCAATTAATACAAGTTCTCACCTCCTCAGTAATTCATGAATCGCAACTAAAAAAGAAACAATGAAACAGGTTGAAAGGAGGTGGTGATCAGAGGAGGGGGGCAATATTACAAATCGCAGAACGTGGGTTGCAAAAAGTAGGGTTCGGATTCATGATGGGTTTTTCAACTACTGAATCAGAGGCTTGTGGAAATTCAGGAAAAGTGAAATCAGATGAAAGTGAGGGAGAAGAAGAGGTTGTTAGCGTGGTATGTGAATGTCTCTGTATATACACTGAAAAGAACATGGGGAAGTGTACAATACACAATTGGATATGATATATATATAGTCACCAAGGGAGCATCCACCATTTGTTGCTTATGATGGATGGTGTAGATTAACAGAACCCAGTTGAGTATTTCTCCTCGGGGAATAGGATCAATCTCCATTATTCCTTCTCGGATATGGGTGGTGGATGCCCCAGTGCCCCCTAGCACACACCATTGGTCTACAGTAGATGAATATTCACTGCTTTGCTTTTGATAACTAGGTGTCATTATAAATCTAGATGAGAAATTTGGAATCACATTTTCTCATCTCATTATGTAGCAGATTGTTTTATTGCTGTTAAAGTTGCTTCTAGAATTCTATTTAATATGTTATTTTACTACTATTTTGAAATTATATAGAGCTATTTATTACAGTATTCTGAATTCTACATATATATTTGTATGTATTATGAAATATCAGTATGTCTGAATTTGACTAGAATTTTTAAGCAATGATGTTTTCATATGGTAATACATATTCTCAAAAAAAAGGTGTCCACTTTCTAGTTTTGATTGGTGAAATATACAAAAGAAACTGCATTCTTGGAGAACAATGATATAAACAATTTATCATCTCTTAAAAAAATTGGGGGAAGATACAATAAATTGATTTTCTTTTTGCTTTTTTGCTTTTTTTAAGAAAATGACCTGCATCTTAGTTTTCTTTTTTAACCTGGCTTCCAACTAGGGTTGCCACTTGGGTTTGATTTGTGGGACTTTTGTGTTGGTTCAGGCCTCCACCGTGGAGAATATAATGAAGAATCTCAGGCTTGAGAATGCTCAACGTAAGCAGTCTTTGGAAGAGTCAAGGTACTTTTCTCACTGAGCATCATTATGTAATCTTATGCTTTTAGAGATTTTTATGTCTTTTTTAATGTATATAACTACATCATTATGTAATTATTATCAATCTAGAAATCAATTACTTTTCGAAGATAGTCATCTGAGTGGAGATTGGAATGCAATTCTTTAGAATTTATTGTGTCCCACAATAAATAATGTTCAGACCTGAGCAGCTCAATGATGCTAAGACTGGACCAGACCGGCTGGTTCAAATTAGAAACTGCTGGACCACTAGTCTTTCAGGTCCAGTCGACTCCCTTGGACTGGATGGCCCGCTTAACCAGTGCTAGACTGTTGGACCGGCCAGTCGAACACCTGAACTGGCTGGTCTACCAGCATTGATGGGCCTCAAAATGACATAAAAGGCCTCCTATTTATTAAATCATGTCAATTTTAGATTTTGTTTTTGTCCTAACAAAATAGTTTAGGGGCATTTTAGTCTGTTTTCTATATTAGGGTGGGTTGGGGATAGGGGTGGGAATGAGTTGGGTAGGGTCTGGGTCCAGGCGGTGGGAACATGTCGGGTAGGGTCCGGGTCCCGGTCTGCCCGGATCTGAAATCCATACATGTGACTCAAACCCGGACCCGAACCCGACCAGGTCTAGAATATCTAGACCCGGACGACCTGGAATTTATTTGAAGGACCCATACCTGGACCAAGATCCAACGGATTACATATAGAAAAAGTAAAAAATTAGCTAAAATTTTAAAAATTGCCTGAAAACGTGTATCAAAAAATTACCAAAAATCCTAAAAATTACCAAAAACATGTAAATAGCTAATAAGAATATTTGGGCAATAATTTATCAATTTTCTCATTTTAAGACTAATAAGAAGATTTGCAAAGAAAAAAATGAAAAAATAAAATAAAATAATATATCAATAATTTGTATATTATATATAACCTTAAAAAGTACATAAAATAATATTATATTAATACGTCTATAACCTTAAAAAAAATATTACTATATTAACCTTTATAAATTTATATATAAACATATTCTAACATATTATATCGTATTTTAAAATAACCAGGTCGGGTCCCAGACCTGGACCCAACTAGATTTACTATTCGGGTCCAAGATTTGGACCCACCCCCAATCCGCTGGGGCCAAATCTTGGACCCATACCCAGACCCAGACTGCGTAGGGTAGTCGGGTCGGGTCTAGGTAAATTCCCAGCCCTAGTTGGGGATTAAAGAGGTGGTTTTTTTTAGAAAGAGAGCTGTTTTGGCATTTTTTCCTCTCTCTGTGTATCTATTTTTGGGCAAAAATCCTTAAACTTTCGAGGAGGATTTTGGTCATCAATCTGCCTAATTTCGTGCCCTAAGTTTATTATACATTATTTTTTATTGTTTGTTTCATATTTGAGAAAATAGAAAATTTTGAATTTTCGAGGTTCTTGCAAGAGATGGTGTTTTTTACTTTTTTTTATTAAATCAATGCAGCAGGTTGTTTCAACAGTCCAACATTATAAAAAGAAAATGCAGTAGGTTGTTTCCTGTATCCAATGTTTCAAAAAGCGGACCGCCCAACGCCTAGGCGGTTTTGGGGAGCTGGGCGCATCGCCCAGGCCTAGGCGCCCAAAAAAAGCGCATATCCCTAGGCGCCCGGGAACCCGCCTAGGCGGCCGCCTAAACCCGCCTAAGCGGCCTCCTAAACCCGCCTAAGCGGCCGCCCAGGGCTTGCGCCCCACCCAAGGGCGGAAATACCCCTCGTGGGGTATTTTTGGGTTGCTTTTTAATACTAAAGGTGCAAAATTGTGGAGCCTATTTTAGAGAGAGAAAACCCTAAAAAGAAAAAAATTTCTACTAGCCCGTCCAGGTTCTGGGTGCCCGCCTAGGTGTTGGGCTGCTTGGACCCGTCCCCCCCCCCCCCATTGTCTAGGTGCCGCCTAGCACTTTTTGAAACACTGCATGTATCCATGTTAATGGTTGTTTTACTTTAATGAGCTTATTGTTGTTGGGTTTCACTTACTTGGTATACATTCTTTTCTGTATAATTATTAGGCATGTTATGAATCTAATTTTGTTTCTAATAAATTTTTGAAATTTTCTGGTTTGTCTAATTTTTCTATTTTTCCATAATTTTTCTTTAATTTTTCTTATTTATCCTTATTATTAAATTTTTTAATTTATTGGACTGGTGAACTGGTCCAACCGGACTGGTGTCCTTACTGGTTCGGTCACTCGTCTGGTGTTAACAAAATTGCCTCGTGGATTCCTTGTATGGCAGGCAATCATAGTTCGAGGGTAACATGATTACATATTGTCTTCTAGTAGGATATAAGCCATCAATTCATGTTATGGAACTCATCTTCTCAAACATGAGGTTTGTTCTTATGCTTAAGAAATGAAACAAGAAGCAGAATCCATTTCTCATTTTCTGGAAACGTTTTGCTCAGTATGCCCGTTGTATTTTGTTGCCATTATCTGATTCAGTTTATTAAGCATTCATCTAAGTTTTTCTTCCTTCTGCAAGTTTCATTCCCACTTCTTTCCCATGAGCTTATCGAAAGTGATGGCCTATTAGTTGCACTTGCAAAAAATCGAATTCCACTCCAGCTTGTTGCACTTGCAAAAAATCCAGTTCCACTCCATCTTTTTTCTCTTGCTTTAATCAGTACATCTAACTCCATTCTTCTGGCCCCAAATTTGGAAATTTAAGTAAACTGGTCGACATCCTTTCAATGAAGACTCACCTCAATAGTAGAGGACATTCGATTGTGTTTCTTTTTGCATGCTTATTTAGGTGTTCCCTATGTTGTTTGGCCTAATGATGCTACAGTAGAATATTATGTGTGGCACCTTGCTTGGGAAATGACCACTAGGGATGAGTACAATCTGAGTGCGATGTGTAACTTTTCATCCTATTTCTCATTAGATACACTTCTCTTGGAGGCCATTTGGCTGTCATTTTGGCATATTCATCAAAATGATTATGTTGATTTTCACATCAAAATGTATTTTGAGAAGGGAAAAAGATTTGGTGATACCATAGGATTAAAATGTAGATTTGGTTCCATGGCCGAAACACCATGTTAGGGAGCGTTCTTTTGATCCCAAAACTATTGAAATCATTTTTATTCATCTCGATGCGCAAGGATGATACAAATTGAGAAAATGGTTCAAATATTTTTCAAGTTGCTTTTGAATAATAAAAAGAGAGAATCTAAAAAGAAAGGTGATTCGGGGCGTAAAATTTCTGCAAATCATTTCCTACTCCATGATTTACTGGGGAACATCCATTTGATGGTCGATCAGGAGGTGAATTAGATATGATTTGCAAAATTTCAGATCATAAAATTCCCTGTAACTGGTTATTTTCCCTGCAAAACCAAATTTACAATTTGGTCTTGTCGAACCATCATATTCCTGCCCTTCTGTGGATTATTTGGCTGTTATCTCTTGAGAGATCACTTGTGCGAAATATGTTGAGAAACTGAGCTCATCCACTCTGTCGTTCATCACATTCATACATATCCGGACTGCATCTGGGTTATTTCTGACCATTCTCTTGGTCTTCAATTCTAAATATTTATGCATTTTATTCATGTTGGTTGGGCATCCAACAGCGATGATGGGTGATCTGTTTCTGGCTTTCCGTCTTTTGTCCTTCTCTCTTTTTTGCTAATCTTTTTATCATGAACTGGCTTGAGTGGCTTCTACGTCGTTCTTATGGGCACCCATTTATCCCCTAGGAGTAAGACAATCTAAACCGAAATTGTGCTAAATTGATTACATTATTCACTGATTCTTTATAGACCTATTTCTGACATGAGTGCCTTTGGATTTATGCCATTGCAATGTTTTGGGAGTATTGAATGACTTGGAGAAAGTTCTCACTAGTCACTGATATTCATCCTTCTCATGCCAGGGCAGACACAGAGCGTTTGCAGAGCCTTACTGAAAATCAAGCTCAGAAATTGGTAGAAAGTGCATTATGTATAAAAGATCTTGAAGAAAGGGAGACTACTCTGGCCCAAAATGTATGGTCTTTTTGTTCATTGATGACTTTGTTCATGAAGTATAAATTCATTGTAGTGTGTAATTATCATGTTCTTCCTTTTTTTGTAAAGGTTGAAGAGCTTATAATGGAAATGACAGCAACAGAAGAAGAGGTAGCTAGATGGAGAGAGGCTTGTGAGCTAGAGGTTGAAGCTGGGAAGCATTTTGCTGGACAACGTGACACAGAGGTAAAATCGTGCTTCATTTTTATATTGCAATTTGAATTTTGTGTCAAGTTTGTTATATGGCGAACAAGCATATATTAATTAGAACTTAGAGGAAGCTGCATTCTAAATTCTTTGCCAAGTTTAGCCATCTTAGATGCAGTATGGCCGACAAAAGATAGTGTAAATTAGAGGTAACTTCTTTAGGCGAGTTTTATATTTTAACAATATCAAGTTTTGCACAAGATTGAGATATGAAAAACATATAGAGAAGTACAGTGAACAATCAAATAAAAAAAAAAAACATATAGAGAAGCTACATCTAATATAGGTGTTCCATATTCGGTGACTGAAACTATCAAACTTTAAGAGAATGTTTTGATTAGCTGTTGGACATAGGAATATCAAAACAGCAATGCAACTGAATATATGAGGCTGATGAAATGATTTAGTGCTTGAATTGTGCCTGGGTAAGAAACCATCAACCCCTAAAAAGTGAAATATCTTAAACACGATTTTGCTTTCAGCTACTCAGATTATTCAAATTCAGAATATTTGAGCCTCTTAGAGCTTTCTAAATGAGTGCTTGAGATATTTTCGTGGACTTGTTAAACCGCTCCAAAAGCTTTTCATACCTTCCTGAGGTGGATGGATACAAAAATTTGCCTCAATCAAATGCTCATGATCAACAAGGAATAAACCCCCTGTTGATACCCGAGGGGATCGACTCACTGAGGTACTCATCCCAAGTGTCTTTAGCAAGGTGCTTACTCCAAACGCCTTTGCAGTGACTTACACGACGTATTATACAGTGTACACTGCTTTTCTGACAATCTCTCCAGGTGTTGTGGTGCCAGCTTAGCTTGACAGTCTACAGGATTCTTTGCATAAAATTGCATTGTGGTCAAATGCTTGAATTGCATCTATCTTAAAAACTGCTCTGATTTTATAAATTTTGATTGGCTAATATGCCCCACTAAAACCATTGTCTTATTGTAAAGCCCAAAGAGATAGCACGTTCTCTTGGTGTATATGGCATACCTTTGCAAACATGGTACTAACTGTAAAGAGGCCATCCAATACAAAACCCCAAGGATTTTTCAGGATGGTTAATGTAAGCTTCTTTGTTCATTCATTTGTCTGTATTGATGTGTTTACTGAGTTAAGCTGGGCCATTTCTGCACCTGTTTATCTGTATGTCTTTTTTTTAATGAATATTTATCTATTTCATTCTTCGATCTATAAATTTATATATGGGGGTGTTTTGTATAAGGCTGAGGCCCTAAACAATCAAAATAAGGTGCACCTTCAAATGGTACTGAAAGATATTGTTTCAGTACTGAAAATCTTTATGATGACATAAAAATTATTTTCATATCTTATTTTAAAATTCAAAGCTTCAGATATATGTAGATCATGTAGATCTATGAACACTTAAAAATCTTGAAAATTGATGGTCTAGATAATACATTACAAGATGCACTATTTTCAAGATTTAATTTAATTTAATTTTTTTTTTACGTCCGTCGAGGTGATTGGATTTGAAGGTTTTTCAGCATCAAAACAACCGCTTGTAGTGATTTTTTGACGTGCACCTTAATTTGATTGTTTAAGGCCTCACCCTTATATAAACTTTTTTTTTTATCTATAGGTGGCCATGTTAAGGGAAGAGCTGGAGAAGACAAGGGCATCTTTGGAAATAGCCAATGGAAAATTGAAGGTGAAGGAGGAGCTTGCGGTGGCAGCCATGGCAGCCCAGGAGGCTGCAGAGAGATCTCTAGATTTAGCTGACAGTCGTTCTGCAGAATTGAGGGACAGGATAGAGGAGTTGTCGAGGCAGGTGGAGGAGGCTGAGGGCAGAGCTGAGCGTGGGGCCCGCCGCAAGGTGCGTTATGTGTGCTGGCCATGGCGCGCCTTACGGGTGTTTGGCCCACCTGGGCGCGGTGGCCCTACTTGGAGGCGGGTACTACCAGATATGGAGGCCTTGCTTCACTGATAAAGCCACTTTAATGCAGAAAGGGAAGAGTGTTTATTCTCATTACTTGGTTCTCATGTATTCTATTTTTTTTTCTTGTAAGTTTTTTATTTGGTTCTATTAAAGAAAGTTAAAGAAATCATTTTTTTTTAATTTTTTTTAATGGAGATGTGCATTATGTATTTTCAAATGTGGAGGGGGATCTCAACTACGTGCTGTCAATAACTAACAAGTTGGGAAAGTTGGAAGATAATGTTCTAAGATTGAACAGTGCAATTTCCAAATGGCAAGATCAAAATGTTAAGAAGCTCAGTTCACTTTTTTTATAAGTTCTTAGTGATCTTAAATTCTCTTGAATAAAAGAAGGAAAAAGTTTATACAAGATTCCAACTTTAAAATATAGAATTAAGGGGCATTTCAAAAATCCATTGAAAAAGGTTGTTCTAATGTTGAAAAACGATAATCTTGGCATCGAGATGTATAAATATGGAGAAAATAAAAAGGATTTCGAATTCCAAAAATGTTGCATCTTGTAATGCATCATCTGGGCCATCTATTTTTAAGATTTTCATATATTTATAAATATATTTGATTTGAGTTATTTTTGGAATTTAAAATTTTATAATTAAAGATGAAAATAAATTTTAAGGCCACCATAAGAATTTTTAACACCAAATTTACATGATAAAATTTCATGATAAAATTTGGATGTCTTAATTTGATTGTTTAAGGTTGCAACCTTATGCAAATCAGTCCTTTAAATGATATTATACATAATAAAAGATACATATCAAACAACAAAGAAAATGAGTATCTTAATTTTAGATAAGATAATCTATTTGATATATAATTAAATGTCATTTAATTTTGGATGACATTTAATTATATTTGGAATTGGATGACATTTAATTATATCTGGAATGGATTATATCTTATCTAAATTCAAAATACTTTGGATAGTATTATTTTGTTTTTTGTTTGTATGTATCTTGTATTATACATAGCATTATTTTAATTGCTTAACTTTTTTATTTCTAACTACATTCAACTATTTTTAATAAAGATGTAAATTTTAGCAAATTATTTTGAATAAAGTAAAAGTAAATTTGCAAAAAGATGGACTTATGTTTGAAACTATTTATCTCAAATAACTTTATGATGAACCCATTCAAATAATATATAGATCATTATTAGGAAAAAATTTATTAAAATAGTAAATTATCGGTGATGGCCTAAAAGCTTGAAGGGTGCTAAAAGAAAGAACGAGAGAAAGAAATGGTGAGGTAAATCCATGGCCTAAAAGCTTAAAGGGAGCTAAAGAAAGAAAAAGAGAAAAAAAAGGGTGAGGCATACCTTATCCAAATCCACCGCGCCGTACAATTGAGAACATGATAAAGGAGAAGAGGCAGTGGGACAGGGCGCCACTTAGTTCATTATAGATTCTTAGTGACCATGTCCAATGGTGATGGAGAGAATAGGACATAGGACTACCATCGTATCCATTTTCGAATCACTTGATGAACGGTGATGGAGAGAATAGGACATAGGACTACCATCATATCCATTTTCGAATCACTTGATGAACGGTGATGGAGAGAATAGAACATAGGACTACCATCATATCCATTTTCGAATCACTTGATGAACGGTGATGGAGAGAATAGGACATAGGGCTTTCTGGTGAGTCCCACTTTTGCATTGCATTTACTTTGGACTGTTCTAAAACACCTTTAGGATCTCTCATCTAATGCACTGATCTAGATCGGTGATCCGGATTGACCAAACATGTTAGAAAATAATTAAAAATAATTAAAAATTAGCATTATTTACAGACTTAATTCACCTTTCGTAGGGTACAAATTCCATAAACTAAAACATAAAAATAAATTGATAACTTTATATTTCTTTAGTTAACTGGCATATAAACTTGTTCTTATATAATTGTGATATTTTCCCCCTTTTCTGAAATATTTTTAACTATTTATAGCAATAAGTAATTTTATTTTCAAATTTCATGATTTTAGCAATAAGCAATAAGTAATTTTATTTTCAAATTTCCGTCTTAGATTGGTCATTAATTTTAAATGTCATTTCTAAAACTTGGGTCCTAAATGTACTAATAGATTGGGTTTACAAGAGGGAGCAAATGTATATTTTGCTCCTGCAGGGAGCATAAAATCCTTTATGTTTTTTGAGATGTAACTAAGAATGATATTGTAAATACACCGACTCGTGGCCATGCAAAGGCATTATCGGCAAGCGAGATTTGGAGGGCATTTCAGAAATATCGTGACTATGTGAGGTCCTTACTACTGTCTCTACCTTCGATATAAGCTTCGAAGCCCGCCATTTTTGTTGTGTGATTTGAGAAGCTCAAAGCCTCAGCTTGAACAGAGAGAGAAAGCTTAAAATCCTTTTGAAAAGAGAGAAAATACGGTGAAAATAGAGAAAAAGCTACGAAAGAAGGTGGAAACAGAAGGAATATAGACGTTCAGAGGAAGAAATTGAACCAGATGAAGCTAAGGATGAACAAAGCCTGTGATTTGAGCTCCATTTCAGTACTTCCACCTCACTCAAGGTAAATCATCGAGTTCAAGTTTTCATATTCTGAATTTCTTTTTCATTGTAAATTGTCCATTTTCATCTGATTTGAGCTGGATACTAGTGCTTCCTCCTTGATCCTTCTCTTGATTCTCTCTTAAACACTCATCTTCTGCAGTAATCTTCCTTTCTCTTTAAATTCGGTCCATTTCCCCCTGATTCGAGTTCAATTTCATTGTTTACTTGTCAATCTAGGTATGAATCGTCTCCGATCGATCATATTCTGCAGATAATCCTTTTCTGCTGCAAATTCTGTCCAAATTCATTTTAGTCCTTCCTCTTTGCTCCAGGTGTTGAGCGTCTTTAAGCACTCAATTCTGTGGAGAAATATTTTTCTATTCATATTTCATAGAAATCTTTTGTTTTTTTACTCTTTAAGTATCACTTCTCCCCCTAATTGAGATCCATTCCACTCCTTCCTCCTATGTTGTGGCATTGATCATATTCATACATTCATCATCTGAATGGGATCTTTTTTCCCTTTAAATTTCATGTATCTTCTCCTATGGAGCTCCAGTGCAGGCATTCCTGATCACTCCAGGAATCTACACCTTTAAGCACTCATTTTCTGCCAATAAATTCTTTTCTTTTTAAATTTCTTCAATTTCCCCTAAATTTGGTAGTGTTTCAGAAAAATTATTCAAGCTCGCCTTTGTTATCATCATTTTTGTAAGAAAGAAAGAAGTTATACATCTTTTCAGCTTTAAGATGGATCCATTTCCCCCTGGTAATGGATTATGTTCTGAAACTATCAATTTCGAAATATCCAGAAAATAGTCATTAATGTCACTAAAAATTCATCTTTGGTATGTAAATCATTTTTAGCCTTTTAATTTGGCCTATTTTCCCTCATCTATGGAATCCTTCAGAAATCTAGCGAAATCTTATGTTACTGTACTCCACAAAAAAGAATTTCATGAAAAATCACATCACCTGCAACAGAACACTCATCGTGCTTAAATAAATCCTGTTTTTGTAAATATCACCCATAGTTCCCCTGATTCTGGTAATTGACTCGTGTATGAATTGGCATTCCCCTTTATTTTTTTTGAGAATATTGGCATTCCCCTTTATTTTATTCCATTTGGAGAAATAATAATATAATTTTCATCATCCGCAATTAAATTTTCATCTCCTGGAATTAAATTATTCTATATGACATTTTTGTCCATTTTGTTTTAATTCTGGTGACTATTTAATGATTCCATTATTTGATCACACTTATCATTCATGAAAGTCTTTCATATCAAATAAATGCTTCATGTTCTCTAATGAATTCTGTTATCTGTAATTTTCATTCATATTGTTTCCTTATTGTGGTAATTTTTCCTAAAACAGAACACAAATACTAATCTTTCTTTTCCTATAAAAAATGTTGATGAAATAGCAGTGCAATTAATAAACATTCTGATCTTATGAGTTGATTTCTCTTATTTGTTTTTAGCATAATTTTCCAGATAATTGCTGTAATTCTGGTGAATATTCCCATATTATGGTTTCCCATTTTTTATCACATTCCTAATCATGAAGGCATGCAAGTATGTCCTCCTCTCCTATTTCCATATTTTCCCCATTTCTGGTAGATATTTTTGAGTTATACGGCCATTTTATGAAATCCTGATTGTTGGTATGTCAGTGTATTCATACTTTCTTTGCTCATGTCATTAGAAATATGCATTTTCTTCCCTCCTTTTTTCTCGTTATTCTGAAATTAGGAAATTTTGAGAGATTTATGCTTTGATTCCCTTGTTTAGACTAAGAATTGCTAGTTTTAGAATCAGTTCCGAACAAAAACAAAGGATTTTTTTTCCAGACTGTAGATACGAGTTTTTCTTCTCATTCAATTCAGTAGTGGGTTAGTTGACTACAGATAATATCCCGAATAAGTTAAAGTAAGAGGTGGATTATAGTTTTTAGGAACTTACTAAGATATTCTAATATCTTTTCTCTTCCTCTCATAATACGAACCTTCAATTTTCACTATTAGAAATCGAGATAAAATTGACACTGAAATTATCACATGAGTGTGTAAATGCGCAATCTGTGTGATGTTGATTCCATCGACATCACTCGAGAATCATCAGTTCTTGTCCATAAGATATATACAATCTTTATATTTTTTGTTAAGAACTTACTGTCAATTTATGGCTTTATCTATTTTTATAGACGCTCAAATCCTGTCCCAGCTAATGGTGACTCATCCATCTTCAGCAAGGCTCAGGCACCTCAGCTTCGCAAGTCAGTCATGCAGTCAACTTTGTCACAGTCACAACAGTCATATTCACAAGGAATGCTATCTCAGCTCTCTCAGAACTCTCAAGAGGAGATGGCAACATATGAACAAGTAAATGAATTTTCTTCCCCTTTCGGAAATTCACATGTATATTTATCTACGATTTGTTTCATTCTGTTGTATAGTGTGTAAGCAAGCAGGTGAGCAAACTTAGGAGCTACCGCTATGAACCCCATGCTGTTTGATACTCGATTAATTTCTTAGTCATCGCAATTTCACATGCTATATATATATATATATATATATATATATATATATATATATATATAGGAAACTAATCATGCACAAGCTATCATCTCAATTAACTGAGCCATTGTTTGATTTTGTTTTGCATCTTATGTTTTCAGAGGTTTAGTTCTCAAGAAAGGGACAATTCAATGAAGAGGATTTCCTGCTTAGCTCCCATTACTTGCTCTCGGGATGAAAGTTCGCAGTTAGCATTAACAAGATCATCATCTAGCAATATGTTGTGTGGATGGAACTCGTCATCTGTACCTGATCATAGATGTAAGTCAGATAGTGCTTTAGTTTCAGTTGCTCTTTCTTTGCAAGATATCTTCATTTTCTCCTTTAGCATATTCACTTTTTCTGTCTTTTTTTTTATTCATGTATTATTCTTCTTGGGGATTTTCATTTCAAGTCCACTTTTTTTTCCAATTGAAAAGTCATTTCAAGACAACACGTTTTTTTTCCAATTGAAAAGGAAAATAATATTTCTTAATTCTGATTTGCAAACATTATTTTTTTCCTTATCACTTAGCCATCCAGTTTGTGCTTACTTCTGATTGTTCTCTGCTTATAATATATTGATGTGTTTAGTTAGAATATTGCAATTTTCTTCTCATATAAACTACCTGACTTAGCATTACAATGTCTTAGAACCTGCTGATTGTATATTGTCTACATAGATTATAGCTGGAGAAATAACACAGAAACATTGGCATTTATAAAACTTTGGAAATAATTTCATTGTTATTGATTGTTTAAATATTTACCAGCAGGCATGAATTTTGGTTAGTCTAATGATTGCTGATTAACTGCTGTCCTTTGTGTCTGCTCACACATTATGATTGGAAGCTACAATGGGCATCTAGAAACTGTAAAATTTGATGTAACGTGGATCGGAAAGTATACAATTGTCCAATGCAGTATGAGAAACTATAAGTCAAAGGCTACATTCCACCATCTTTTCCCACTGATGGATGGATGGATGGAGATAACTGTACCCACAAAGTTAATCTCCAACCATCTGTTAGCATAAAGGACGATGGATTTAGCCTTGGACTATGATTTTCCAGAGTCCATAAAAACGATACTACACTTTCTTAATATGGATGAAATTTTCCCTGAGAATGTGTAAACTAAAATTGGAATGGGCAGTTCCATTGAACGAAGATCTTGAACCCAAGATTGGAGCCATTGATGTTGCATTGAACAAGCTGGGGATGGTTTTAGATTCTGTTCAGAGTGACGTCATGCAAGTAAACAAAACAGTAAAGGAAGTTTCACTCGAGAGTATGCACCCTGATCCCCAGTGCTGTTTCCTTTGCTGAATTTAGATCTATTATAATGCTCATTATTCTATTCCCTTTTTTTTATTATACAGTGGAAGATATTAGAAAGAAGCTTATTGTTCAGGATAACACGTTGCATCTCCTGGTGAGAGAGGGAAAACTTCAATATACCTTTTATTTCTAAATTCTTGTGGTTACTTCAATTGGTTCTAATGTAAATCAGTTCAGTTTGAATGGGAGGCAGATGTTTTTGATGCAGATATATCCTTTCAAAACTCAGCTTTATTCTAAATTTGCATACTCTGCTTGCAGTTTGCACACTATAGAGTAATTTGCACTAAAATTAACTTGAGTCAACATATTTTAATTCAGCTCAAGGACCAGGAGGGCATCAAATCTTGCCTTGATGGAAACCTTAAGACTCTTCCTGATCAAGTTAGAAAGGAATCTGCCCTCCCCAAGTTAGAGGAGATGGGGCATGTGCTTAAATCAATACCTGACCAGATTGAAATGCATTTGTCAAAGATCAGATTTGAGATATGCGCCAACTTCACCAAAGAAATGCAGGTATTGGAAGCAAAGAAAAAACTCTCAGTCCAGATACATGAACAAAACAAAAAACCTGCACTTACCTGTTTCAAAAGGATCAAAATACCCACAATTTAGCCTGAAATAATGATTGATAATTTCTTTAAAGGTAATTGTAGGGTGTTACTGTCTAGATAATTTGATAATGCAAAACCTTTTGATTGTGTGCTTAAAGCCTGGGGATACTTCCTTTCTGAATTAAAAGAAAATCTGACTGCTACACTTCAGCCTTTGCTTTCTAGCAAAGTATATATATTCCAATTGATTTTGTGGAACAATAGTCAATCAACATGTTCACCATTCAAGAAAATGATGGAGATGGAGAGATTGTCCATGTCCTGTTCTGATGTGCCCCATTCCCTCTCTATCACCAATGACCCCTGTGGATTTTGTTTTTCCATATACCATGGCATCACAGTACGCTTTTGCTTGCTTTTTATGAATCTTATGTTGGTGTACTTGGCATATTATGGGAAATATTCCTACTTAAAAACATCCCACATCACATGGGTAAAGGCATGCTTGTCAAAAAATGTAGAGCACATTATTATAAGTTTTTCATTTTTTTGTAACATAGTTCACCATGGGTGAGTGCAAGTTAAAGAATCCTTATATGCTGTAAAATATTCTTTTTTTTTTTTGGGTAAGGTGCTGTAAAATGTTTCATTGCGAACTATTTACCTTACCTTTACCAGAGAAAAGAGCTACTAATATACTTTGAAATTCCATGCAGGCCATGAGGGCAAATACAAAGCCTTCTGAAGATGAGCTCCCTATAGCTGAATACAATACATCGTCTAATGTACTGCTTTATGCTCCTTAGTATGCAGAATGAAGACTTCTAAGTTTAATCACCTTGAAATTCATTTATTATTCTTCTTTTTCACTTGCGATGCAATTGTACAGAGAAGAAACCTCAGTATTGAGAGATACCACAGACCACAACGTGCCAAAACGAGCAAGTATGGTTCGAGACCCTGTTTTTGGACCTTTTAGCGCTTTGTTTCTTTGGCATATCTTTCACAGATGGCTGTTGTTTACAGTCATCCAGCTCCAGCAAAGGTTCACTCAAGAAGCAAACTGATACCAAAGACAGAGCCATTCACCTCGAAACAGTTCAAATCAGATACAGTTATATGCATTGATAGAAGACATCAATATGAGATAAAGAAAGAAGCTCTTCCCACCAGCAAGGTTGTCACTGATTTCTTTACAGTTGGAATTTTGATTTTAAGCTCCATAACATGCATTTGACTTTTATTATTTCTCTCACTTTCCAGGGCAGATAGCAAAATTATCAAAAAGCGAATATCTTAGAAAATTTATAGTGGTTTTCATGATCCCACATCTCAAAGATAGGTTCGATTTTGAAGAACTTGCAAAAATATCGAGATTCTAAAATCTCATATTTGTCAACCTGTTTTCAACATCATTATCATCGAAAGTCATCCTAAATGTTGTTCTATTCATGTAGAGGTCAAACTGTGCATTTAGAGTATCCCATTGGATTGCCATCCTATAATGTTTGCTGTTGATTTTGATTTTATTTTTTATTTTTTTTGTTATTTCCAGAATGGCATTTATGAGGTATATACTCATTTTAGTATTAGAAAAGCACATAAGCCCTTTCATGAAATTTAGTGCCACACTAGGTTATGACAAAGCAGGTACTACTGAGATGTATAGTTCAGAGTTGACCTTTCGGTCAAATGCAAATGTAAAAATAAGGTTAAATGTCCCTTCTGTGGTTTTGAAATCCCACATTGTAGTTTAATATTTAGTTTCTAGTATATAATTTACCCCAAGGTGATCCTAGCTTTTGTTCATTCAGATTTATATGTTAAAGAAACTGAGATATAGCTAAAGGTATTTCAGCTACCACCTGTTATTAAGAATTATTTGGGGGTATTGCAGGAAAGCGAGTTGAGGATAATCATTGATTCTGACGAGGAGGTGGACGGTGGTCTTAACTGCCTATTTGGAGAAACAGAAACAGGTAAGACACTTGGTATTGGAAACTTTTTGTTGGCAATCAGTATTTAGAGTGTCCAACCGTATCTTAAGTAGTTTGATATCAAGCTTCTGATGTTTTCTCTACTTGCAGTTTTCAATCTCATGCTTACTGATATTAAAAAGTAGGGAAAGAAAAAACATGCTTATTATTCATCCAGGACTATATTGCCCTGAGTTTCATCAATATTCCTTTCGTTCTAACGATCTTGGCTATCGAATGGTCTACATAGGGAGACCAACAGCAAGCTACTGGAGCTGTTCAATTGAGGAAGCAAAGGAAGAAACTAGAAGAATGTTGAGGAAAGCAAGGATGAGGAAAAGAAAACATCAAGGACTGCTATGCTATATTGACTGATGTACGGGTACGTGTTACATCGAAGCATAATAAATCCAGTGGTCTCGGTGCTCTCATTTTTTCTTTGAAAAAGTTATCACACTCTTTAGTGTGGCCTTCTCATTGTCCTAGCAAATTTTCTTCGATGAATAATGGGCACACATACATGCTTCCCAGAAACGATTGAAAGTGTCTGTGCAAATGCGCCGACGACCAAAGTGAAACCAATAGACATTCATGGTTATATGTATGCCCTCAACATATTACAGAAGAACAATTACGAAATGCAATGCATGCATTTCCCATCAGGGTGATATTGAGAATTTAAGTGGTGACAATGTCTCCACGAAAAATTGTATCCTGCTACGTTCATTCCTTTAGTGTGAAGAATTTCTTCCATCCCTATATGAAGAATAGAAATAACAACTGAAGCAAAATGGTGATGGACAAAAGCCGGTTTGTATTCTTTGCTGTTGCTTCCTTCTATAAAAACAGTGGTTGTTGCAGTTTGAACAGCACTAACATTGTATCCACTAAACGCCATTTCTATGAGTTAATACCAACCTTATGAAGCAATGGATATAACCATATGATCCCACTTCTTGTGAATAGAAGCTTTCTGTTTTGTTTTGGCTGATGATTTTGATACCATATCATCTTTCTTGCTTCTCCGAAAGCCTTAAGATGCCACTAGAAACGTGCAATAATACTTTCGGTTATCTGCGTTTTACTTCCATACTGAGCTGGATAAAAACCTAAGAGAAGTCTATTGCTTAATGGATTGTTTGAGTTACTTAGCATCTATATGGATGGATATACAATTCTTGACCTTCAAGCTCATGAGAAGCCACACTAGATGGGCTCATATCTTGGTTCTTATCACTTGTTAATTTCTCCCGAGACTAGAGGAAGAAAATGTTGGACAGGTTCGCACTCTCTTCAGAATTAACCCTAGTATGATGTGTTTTCAAAGAAACACACCATTGTTTGAGGCATACAAATGCTTCCTATTTTCTCAGACAACAATTTACTTTGATTTCAAAATCAGCCTCACCCTGTTCTTTCCCCTTGAGATGTGGTTCTTCCTTTTGGAGCATCCAAACTTTTCAGGAAGGTTTTTTTAATTTTTTCAATAGGTCCATTTAAGTAGGAGGAGGTTACAACCATTTTTATGCCTTAGATTTCAAAATGGATGGTCGTAAGAATGTAATTAAACACAAAGTTCAAAAAAAAAAAAAAGAAATTTGTTTTTGCAAAACGCTGAAGTATCTCTCTCTAGTTTCACGACTGAAGCTCTCCCTCTCAACTGAATTCCCAATAAAACAAGTGATGTGCATTATATTATGGCCACCAGTAACGAGGAGGAAAAAGAAAAGGAAGACAAGCCAAACCCACTAGTCAGTCAGAAAAGCAAAGCCCATTGATGGGTCAGAAAACCATAATGAGGCAAACTAAATACTAGAATTTCCAATCACCAATATATCGAACCAGGAAATCAAACGAATAAACAGTAAAATACAGCCAGAGAGAGAGAGAGGAAGGATCAACCCAATTGGTATTAACCTCTGCATTTTCATCGACCACAAGGATCAACCTTAAACTCTTCTCTCTCTATAGGCAATTTTCCACTCTGTAATAAACTCATCAGAGGAAACCTCACAAGCTCAAAACTAATTCAATCACCATTTTTTCCTACTCTTTATTCTTCCAAAACCACAAAGGTCTTCTGAAACATTAGACTTGCAGCGGGCTTTCTAATCGTGTGTCGAATTTGAGCTCGGACATTTGGGAATTGGGCCGATCCAAATTACAAGTTCAGAACTTCCTTACACTGTTTATCCTTTCACAAGCGGAATAACGGCCTTATTCTTCATATTAAACACTGATAATGGCTTATAAAACTTTCAACAAATTTTCAGAAATGCAAAGCATAAAAATAATAATGGATGCAAGATCAAAACGGTATGAAAAGTAAATCATTACATTCATCAAACAATCAAACACTTCTACACATTCAAATACAAACACAAAAACCCCTACCAGTCATTATCTCACTTTCATCTTACACCCCACAAAATTTGCCAGAAAATTCAGAAACTTAGCCAGAAATCTCAATGGATTTGAGATCAGCTTTTGGGGCCTCAACTTTGGGAACAGTGACAGTGAGGACCCCATTCTCCATGGCCGCCTTCACCCCTTCCACCTTTGCATTCTCAGGGAGCCTGAACCTCCTCAGAAACTTCCCCTGACTTCTCTCGACCCTGTGCCACTTGTCGTTCTTCTCCTCCATCTCCTTCTTTCTCTCTCCACTTATCTGCAACACCTTCCCATCTTCCAACTCCACCTTTACCTCCTCTTTCTTGAGTCCAGGGAGATCGGCCTTGAACACATGGGCATTGTCGGTCTCTTTCCAATCGAACCTTGCATTCACGAAAGCTGAGGTTGCAGAATCACTGGTATTGAAGAAGGAAGAGAAGGAAGTGGCGTTTGTGTTAAAAGGAGAAGAGAAGAACCCATCAAATGGGTCCCAAATGTCAAGAGAGAAGGGATCATAGACATTGGACCTTCGCCCAAAAATGCTTGGTATCAGAGACATTCTTTTAACTGGTTCTCTAATGGAGAAAGTTGGTTTTTCACTGGTTTTTGATGGAGAAATAGATCGTAATTTCACCAACGATTGCTGCGACTGACGAGAGAAAAGTGGAGGCGATGGGTTTTATAGAGAGGGAGAAGGAATGTGGAGATTAGAGAGGGAAGGGGGTAGAATTTTCTAGAAAAGACAAGAAAACACGTCCAGATAAGTCCCGATGTTTCTTGATGAGCGTGCATCTACCGTCCATTCATGAAATGACAGTATAGGATCAACCAAGATAATGTTGCAACCCCGTTTTATGCTTACGTATTTGTGCATCCACCGTCAATTTTATGAAAGGGCAGTAGATGGTGCCTGTCGGGTTTTACCAGCGTCGCGCGGAATTTTGTCCACTACCCAACTATCACAAAAAAATTGTCTTTTTTGTGGTAAGAGATTTTGTCCATTTCCTAAATATCACCAAAATTTATTTTTTTTTTTTTGATGAAATACATTCAAATCCATCCTAATGATCTTGGCCAACTATGGATATAGAAAAATATCCTATATTATATTAGGAAGAAGTTTATATAGAGGTGAGGCTTCAATCAATCAAATTAGAGCCTACTTCAAAAATTTCAATAGAAGAAGTTGTTTTGATGCCCAAATATCCTCAAATTAAGCATCTCAACATCAAGATGCATGGACATAAGAAAAAAATGGATTTCATGTTTTGGAAATAATGTATTTTGTAACGCATTTTTAGACCGTCAATTTTCAAGATTTTCAAATTTTTATAAATCTCTCGATCATCACTATTTTTGAAGCTTTAAATTTCATAAATAAAGGTGAAAATATATTTTAAGGCTAGCAAAAATATTTCAAGTATTGAAATTACATTTCTCAATACTATTTGAAGGTAGATTCTAATTTAATTGTTTAGAGCCTAGGCTCTATACAAACGGCACCCATTATATTAAGATATTTAGTATTTATAAAGCTGCAAGATCTATACTATTTTTGAGCTACATGTTTTATAATAATATATTTTACAGCTATCATAAAGCATATGAATGAAGTTTTGAAGTAATGCTTTACTGTTTTTTATAAAGCCCTTGCCTTAAAAAACTTATCCATTGTTAAAGGAAAATGTTAAAATAATGCCTAGGCTCTATGAAAAGAAATAAAGGTGTCTCAAATTTTACCAAAAAATATAATTTTGGAGTCCAAAATTCTTTAAATTGATCATCACAATTTTGGCCATGATGGATATGAAAGAAAAAAATTTCAAGCCTAAAAAAATGTATATTGTAATATATATATATATATATATATTTTTTTTTAACAAGATAATTTTATATATTTTGTAACAAGCTCGGCTTCCCCCATAGCTTTCTTGCCCCTCTTTTTTTCTCTCCTCTCTTTCTTCCCCTCTCCTCTCCTCTCCTTGTTCCCTTCTTTCTACTTCATTTGTAACAACTTTGTATCACTGGGTTTTTGTTTTGTTTTAACGAGAACTTGCGTTAAAAAAAAAAAAGTGTGATAATTTCGTTAAGGTAATGAAAGGAGAAAAACAAGGGATCTTGTAACAGGATATCTAAACATCCATTTTGAAGTATTCATAGATTTATACCATTTTCTGAGCACAAGTTTCATAATGAGTAGTAGAAATAGATTTTAGATCCATTATTTGGGTTTTCCATGCCCAAAACATTTTACAGATGAATTTTTGAGGTGGGTTTCATTTTCTTTCATAAAACCTAGGCCTTATTGAACCCTTGTTCTATGTTAAATCCTCTAAGAAGCAAAAGTTGGGGCTGGCAATGGGCTGTCTACGGCATGCCCACAATGGCCCAAGCTTGGATCTAGGCCCGGTCTAGGGCACTTGGTCTAGGGCTCTGCCCTGTCCAGGCCAGCCTTCGGACTATGGTGGTCACGTCTTGATCTGGCCTTTGATCACGTTTGTGATTTTGGCCTCTTTGTTTCGGGGTTAATCCAAGCATGCTAGGACCAGTTTGCCAGACCCATTATGAGCGCTTAACAATTTTTTTTCAAAATGAGTTATATTAGGCACCAATAGGAGAAGGGCTTATGTGTGGCCAAATTGAATCTGGTCTGATCTGAAGGTCATAATCTTTTTTCATATTTGAATATTTTTATATAAAGTTAAATCATTTAAAATTTGGAATGTCAAATTTTCTAATTAAGGCACACATAATAAAAATACTCTTAAAAAATTTCAAGAGTATTACGGTTAATTTATTTTTTGTGAATATTTTTTTAATATTTGTATTCGGTGTGCATATTTTTCAAAAGTAGACACTCAAAATTTCATATAATTTGGAGTTGAAAAAAAAAAAATTAAAAGACAAAACACAATTGTGACCATCCTCCTGGCCCATATTGAATCTAAACCATTGAGTGTATAATATTATATTAACCTTTGGGCTGACAAAATCTTTTTCCTTGATAAATAACATCAATTTTTTTTATCAATGGTGCATGATAAAAAAAACTTTAAAAATCTTATCCACTTCCATTAGCTTGTAATTAGTCCTATGAGTCGGGACTCAACAAGGGTGTGGTTTGGATATGGTTGCAACCTTAAACTATCAACTTAAGGTGCGCCTCCAAATTTTAATGTAATTTTGGTATAAAAAATTCTTAGGATGCCTTGAGAATTGCCTCCAAATTTTAATGTAATTTTGGTATAAAAAATTCTTAAGATTCCTTGAGAATTGCTATTATAAGATATTTTGAATTTGTTATTATTTGTATAGTAAAATAATTCTAAAATGTAAACCAACAATTTCAATTTCAGTAGATAATATTATAGTTAGTTAGGTTGTAATAATTTTGGATTATAGTTAGTTAGGTTGTAATAATTTGAGTTTTTTTCAGTGGATTAGGATTTTCTTCTAATTCGAGATTTTGGTGGACATTTTTTCATCGATTTAATCCATTCTTTTTGCTGAATAAATTTGGTAATACATGCTTTCATCAAAATCAGGTATTATGATTTGTTGTTTTGTACTTTAATTTTACGATTTTTGTTTTTGGAGCGAGATTCATGATTTGTTTCAGAGGTTGGTTTTCCGCAAAACCTTGAATCATAGGGCCATTCTCCATCGATTAGATTCCCTTTTTTTTTTTTTTTAATGATCGTGTTAATAATAAATTTCACTAGAATCAGGTAACATGATTTGTTTGTTTTTTTTTTTTTGAGAATTGTTTTTTGGGGGGTCTCTGCACATGAACACTTATAAGGTTGATTGTTGGATTTATTTATTTATTTATTTTTATTGTTATTTTTTACGAATTTCCCTTATAGATTGTCTGATTGTATGAAATTTGATTTATTTGTTTGAATCATTGTTGGGTTTTCATTTTTATTCTTGTTTTTCATTTTCATATTATCTTAATGTTTATTGGGGGACCATTTCTTTTTCTTCTTCTGGTTATTTTTATTTTATTTTCTTTTGATATGGAGTTGTAGTCATTGTGAGCTGTTATTTTTACGGGGTTTTATGACATATTTTATGAATTGTATGCTTTATTGAAGTCCATATATGATTATATTCTTCATCCATGATAATTATATGATTCTTCTTTTGTGTGATGTAATTTTAATTGCTAACGTAAGTTTATACAGTGAAAGAACATCTCAATATTCACATATTGATCGAAAAAATTAAAGTTAATAATGTAGTACCCTCATTTCTTATTGGATTTCTAAAAAATAACATCTATAATGATTTTTAATAATTTTTTTGGATTTTTTTTATTGTCGAATATGATCGATTCCGTCGATTCCTGATCCACACTGCTGATTCACCGATCCGTTTTTTAAACCACTGGTATATACCGTAAAAATGGCCTATATTTCTTATTAAGGTTGGAAGTGGCATGTAGCGAGCCCACCCTAACAGGGCCAGGGCCGGGCTTTAGCTTAGGCTGGCCCTATGTGTATAAGGTCTGGTCCCGAGATAGGAACCTGTCGTTGCCACCCTCATTTCATTTCCTTTTAGAAAAAACTTTGAGCGTGTTCGGCTACCTCCCACCATGTAATTAAAAAAAAAAAAAATGATTTACGTACAACTTCTAAAATTTGAGGTAAGATGCAAAATGTTTGGTTTAGAGGCGAAATTACAAAGAAAGTCGGAAAACTTATTTTTTTTATTTTTTTCAAAATTATCTATCGGTCAACCCGAATTTTATTACTTTTTAGTATTTTTTTAGCTTTTTCGTTAGTAGGGCATGCCCCAAGCTTTAAGGTAGTGCACCACTAATGAAAAATTTTAAAAAGCTTAAAAAAAAAAAAATCAAAATTCAGATTTATCATGGGGTAATTTTGAAAAAATTAAAAAAATTGGACTAACCGATCTTATTCGTAATTTCCACAAGCATTATGTATTTCATCTAAAATATTAAAATCCCTACATAAATCACTTTAAAAAAGAAAAGAAAAAAAGGCACATTAACAATGCTCCCATGGGACCACACTTCGCATAATACTCCCTTCGGTCAATAAAACAAGGGTGCGGTTTGTATAGAGCCTAGGCTCTAAACAATCAAATTAGAGCCTACCTTAAAATGGTGTCGAAAAATGTGGTTTCAATACTTAAAATCTTTGGGATTGTCCTAAAATATATTTTCATCTTTAATTATAAGATATAAAGCTTCAAAAATAGTGTAAATCAAGCAAATCTATGAAAACTTGAAAATCTTGAAAATTGATGGTAAAAAAATATGTTATAAGATGCACTATTTCAAAAGCTTAAAATCCATTTTTTTCCTCATGTTCATGCATCTTATTGTCGAGATGGTCAATTTGAGAAAAACATGAAATTTCCGAGGGGGGCTCTAATTTGATTGTTTAGAAGCTCGACTGTGTATAAACTTTTTCCATAAAACAATTGTTACATTTGTTTTTCTCTCTCTGGAATTTTTTGGAATGTTTTGTGAAAAATTCTACTCCCATATTCTCTCTCTACTCTCCATGTTCTTTTCCTCTATAAAATCCCTCACACTTTCTCTCTTCAGTTTCAGTAAACTTCTTTTGTGAGATTACTATCACTACTTTTATTAGCTGCAAACCATCTCCGTACCAATTCTTTTCACAAGAAAACTAGTGAAAACCCAACTTTCTCCATCAAAATAC